TCATCAGTCCATACAGAGGAGAATCTTGAACAGGAGAAGAATGAGGTAATCAGTCCCTCAACCTTGAGTCGATGTGGTCAGTCCGTCAATCTTGAATAGAATACGGCATAAGTGTGGAGAAGGAGCTTATAAACCGTAGATAGGAGAAGTGCAGCAGTCGTAGGTGGTGTCGCATTTGTTCAATGTGGAAGTAGGTCGTGCTCAAGGGTTAGGCAAGCGAAGAATTCCCAAGTACAGTGGACCCCCTGTTTACGATATTATTTCATTCCAGAAGTATGTTCAGGTGCCAATACTGAACGAATTTGTTCCCATAAGGAATATTGTGAATTAGATTAGTCCATTTCAGACCCCCAAACATACACGTACAAACACACTTACATAAATACACTTACATAATTGGTCGCATTGGGAGGTGATCGTAAAGCGGGGGTCCACTGTATTAACCCTTTGACTGTCGCGGCCGTATATATACGTTTGCGAGGTACCGTGTTTGACGTATATATACTCATAAATTCTAGCGGCTTCAAATCAGGCAGGAGAAAGCTAGTAGGCCCACATGTGAGAGAATGGGTCTGTGTGGTCAGTGTGCACCACATAAAAAAAATCCTGGAGCACGCAGTGCATAATGAGAAAAAAAAAACTCCGACCGTTTTTTTTAATTAAAATGCCGACTTTGTGGTCTATTTTCGTATAGTATTTGTGGTTGTATTCTCGTTTTCTTGGTCTCATTTGATAGAATGGAAACTATATTATAGAAATGGAGGTGATTTTGATTAATTTTACTATAAAAAGAACCTGGAAATGGAGCACAAAGTACAGGAAATGTTTGATTTTTGCCGATGTTCAAAAGTGAACAAATGATGTCATTGTCCAATAAATGTCCAAATACCCCATTCTAATACGCAGTCATGAATGGGTTGATGTAATTTTTACAATTATTACAGTATTGCAGTAGTCTGCATAACAGTAAATCTTCTATTTTTTGTTTGAATAAAATTTCAAAATAAAAAGCAAGAGTAATATCACAGGGACCTGGAGACATGACTGATGAACAAAGAAAATGTTATTTTATGAGCCAGGAATGGTCTGCATTGTTCATTCTGGACCTTATTTTGAAATTGTCGTATTTTTTAATTTTCGAGAAATTGGGCCAAATTGCAAATTTCTGACCATGTTATTGGGTAGTTGAAATCGGTAAATGGGCAGTTTCTTGTACTCAATCGATAGAAAAAATAGAGTTCTGAAGAAATAGTTATGAGTTTGGTTGACTGGAATAAGGGAATTAGCCGAAAATAGGGCTCAAAGTGGGCGAAATTGCCGATTTTTAAATATCGCCGAAGTCGCTAACTTCGCGAGAGCGTAATTCCGTCAGTTTTCCATCAAATTTCGTTTTTTTGGGTCTTTACAATCGGGAAAAGATTCTCTATCATTTCATAAGAAAAAATAATTTTTTTTTTTTTCGAATATTTTGCGACACCAGAAGCAACTTCAGGATTTGGCCCTTCGACAGTCAAAGGGTTAAGATCCCAAGAAGTTGCAGTGTCAGACACTGCAACTTCTTGGGATCTTAATACTTGGGAATTGTTTGCTTGCCTAACCCTTGGGCACGACCTACTTCCACATAGAACAAATGTGACACCACCTACGACTGCTGCACCTCTCCTGTCTACGGTTTATAAGCTGCTCCTCCACACTTATGCCGTATTCTATTCAAGATTGATGGACTGACCACATCGACTCAAGGTTGAGGGACTGATTACCTCATTCTTCTCCTGTTCAAGATTCTCCTCTATATGGACTGATGAAGCCACTGTGTGGTGAAACGTTTCCTCAATAAAGATACCCAAGAGTTGCACATGTCTAATTTATCAACATGTCGGTTCTCAGAACCATTCATCTACATAAATCAACATGCTATCACAAATTGATAACTGTCTAAGGGACAGGTAAAAACCCTCAGACCATTCTTAACTGTTCATTGGTGCCTTTACATGATCAATTTGAGATAATAGGAAGCTTATCTCTGAATCATTAAGAAAATTTTCACTAAATTTTATTCAGAACTTTCATTCTTTTTGTATTTGCCTTTTATTTTTAGTTGTCTGTTTTGTGATTGTTCAAAAATCCTGGCATTTATTTCCCAACTTTGTTTATTGTTATTTCTTGGTGCATGTTTTGAATGTAATCATTAATAAGAGAAGTGAATGCTTTTATTTGAAAATCTAACGAAAGTTATATGAAAGATCAGCGAGATGGGATTGGAAATGTTAAGTGAATGAAAAAATGAAGCTAGTCCTTTATTTCTTAAGTGTTTAATAGGTAGAAAGGGGAAGAAATATTATAGTAGGACACTCCTCAGATTTCGGTTATGTGTTAGGGGCTGCTACTAAAGTTTCTTTAACCCTTTCAGGGTCCAGAGGCCAAATTTCCAAGTGTGCACCAGGGTCCAAGAATTTAAAAATTTTTTTTTTATTTTTTCTTATGAAATGGTAGAGAATCTTTTTCTGAAGGTAATAAAACAAAATACTTAATTTGATGGAAAATTAACGAAATTATGCTCTCGCGAATTTTGGTGTCAGCGATATTTACGAATTGGCGATTTTGCCGACTTTGACTCCCATTTCAGGCCAATTATATTATTCCAGTTGACCAAATTCTTAGCTATTTCACTAGTATTACTTTTATTCTATTGATTGAGCACAAGAAATCACCAAGTCAACTTTTTCAAATACAAAATAAAGTGATCGGAAATTGGTAATTTGGCCAATTTAACACAGTTCAAAATATTCCAATTTCAAAATAGGGTCCAAAATAAACAATGTAGGTATTCCTGGCACTAAACTAACATTTCCTCTGTTCATTAGTTACATTTTGAGGCTTTACAAATGAATTCCATTTTGATTTTTTATTCACATAATGAATTTTTATTCAAACCAAAAAAATAGAAGATTTACTGTTATGCAATATTTTAATAATTGTATAAATATCATCACCACATTTGTGAATGTATATTAGACCCACCAGCTGGCGTGTATTAGATGTGTGAGGTCGATTGTTTACTCTTGAACATCGGAAAAAATTTAACATTTCTGTTAATTTGAGCTCAGTTTCAAGCAATTTCCAGTGCTAAAACCAATCAAAATCATCTCTATTTCTGTAATATGTCTTCCATTCTATCAAATGAGACCAAGAAATCACAAATACAACTATAAAAAAAATAGGAAAAAACACTGCAAAGTCGCTGTTTTAATCGAAAATCATTGTTTTTTTTTTTCTCTCTCATTGTACAGTGTGCTGCAGGATTTGTTTGTGGTGCACACATAAAACATAGATGTATTCTCTCATATCTAGGACAAATTTACCACTCGCAGCTTATCAGTGTGAGCTGAGCTCATGGCGTAGATCTACGGTTTGGACCTTGAACCTAAAACCGTAGATCTATGGCATGGACCCTGAAAGGGTTAAGGTAATAAATTTTTAGGTTTAATTTTGAGGCCTTAAAATATGTAAATTGCATAGTTTTTATGAGTAGCAAATATGAACTGTTTTTATTGAAGTTTGTGTATACATTGCATGATTTTTTCAGTTGCCTTGACTGTTAAGTGATAATCACCACAGTTTGGTGTGTTTCCCAGGTGCATGATAAAAAAAAATTACATGTCTTATTTACTCTAGTCTTAATTTAACTGACAGGTGTGGTTAGTAGATACTGAAAATTAAATCATTTAATATTAATCAGCCCTTGTCTGTAAAATTTAGGGTTAGCCTGTAAGCCAAGCATTAATTTATGGCTTTAGTGCACAAGCATGTCTGCATGCGCACATTCTAGGTAACCTAAGCACGCAGAAATGTGCAGTTCTATATGCACTGTTATGCCCACATTAGCTAATGCATGGTTACATGTGCATCCACACACACTTGCAGAATTGCTTATGTCTTAATAAGGAATAATATTCATAGATAAGAATAGTTATATTTGTTTAACTTCAGTTAAACATATTGTACAGTCATTACTGTAGTCTCCGTTATGTTTTTTTTTTGTATATATACGTACGCATAAAATATCACTCATTTTTTTTTTCTTTGGCTTCTAGTTTTCTTTTGTCTTGTTCCTAATTATTTCTGTTCCTTTCCTTGCCCTCCTTTTCTTCCCTCAGTTTCTTGAAGCTCATAACATCCATGATCACAGATGTTTTGAAATTATAATCTGTCAGACTGAAACGACCATGAAATTCCAAAGGGGAAAATTAAAGGAAAAATTTCCAGGATGAAATGTTAAAGAACAAATCAAATAAAAATGGTATTCAGCAGTTTGTTGCCCTCTAACTCTTGTACACATACCCCTAACACATTTTACATGCATCATGTTCAGTTGAACAAGAAAGCTGCATCATAGGCTTCATAGGGATTTAAAATGTTTTTGGACAAATTTTTATTATTTTATGAAACTGGTCACTTGAGTGGTTAGTTGGAATTGATGGCAGACTTTTAAGAGTATTGCTTTGGTAGTAAATTAATTGAAAATGTTTAAAATTTGTTTGCCTTAAATTAGCAAGTGGTTTTAATAACTTGTAAATAACAAAAATCAACACTGTTGAGATTTCCCACACTTTTTTTTTTTTTTTTTTTTTCATCTTCCCATCTCTCTCCCTCCATTTTCTCCCTTTCTGCATTCCTTCCCGCTTTTCCTCAACTTCCTCTACCCCCACTCTTTTACCCCTCACCTTGTATTGTACTTGCATATAATGGAGACTACTGCAATATATGTACATTTGTATGTTTATGTACACACAGATTTCAAGGTTATTTAAATGTCATTACAGTAATTTGGTTTTGTATATTTTTATATAAAAGTAAATTTTTAAAAATGACATGTAATCGAATTAGGCATTTGGAATACACTAACTGGTAGGGGGATCTTCTTTTACACTCTTAACATTCAGTAATGGTAACTTGGTATTTCTCTTGGATTCTACTAACCTCTGCTTTTCTGCTAGCAG